CATCTCTTTACTCGGCCACATAGGCATCTCTTCACTCGGCCCCATAGGCATCAGATCTCTTCACTCGGCCACATAGGCATCTCTTCACTCGGCCACATAGGCATCTCTTCACTCGGCCACATAGGCATCTCTTCACTCGGCCACATAGGCATCTCTTTACTCGGAGACATGGGCATCTCTTTACTCAGCCACATGGGCATCTCTTTACTCAGCCACATGGGCATCTCTTTACTCAGCCACATGGGCATCTCTTTACTCAGCCACATGGGCATCTCTTCACTCGGCCACATAGGCATCTCTTCACTCGGAGACATGGGCATCTCTTTACTCAGCCACATGGGCATCTCTTTACTCAGCCACATGGGCATCTCTTCACTCGGCCACATGGGCATCTCTTTACTCAGCCACATGGGCATCTCTTCACTCGGCCACATGGGCATCTCTTTACTCAGCCACATGGGCATCTCTTCACTCGGCCACATAGGTATCTCTTCACTCGGCCACATGGGCATCTCTTTACTCAGCCACATGGGCATCTCTTTCTGCCACATGCGCATCTCTTTACTCTGCCATATGGGCATCTCTTCACTCGGCCACATAGGTATCTCTTCACTCGGCCACATGGGCATCTCTTTACTCAGCCACATGGGCATCTCTTCACTCGGCCACATGGGCATCTCTTCACTTGGCCACATGGGCATCTCTTTACTCAGCCACATTGGCATCTCTTCACTCGGCCACATGGGCATCTCTTCACGCAGCCACATGGGCATCTCTTCACTCGGCCACATAGGCATCTCTTCACTCGGCCACATGGGCATCTCTTTACTCAGCCACATGGGCATCTCTTCACTCGGCCACATGGGCATCTCTTCACTCGGCCACATGGGCATCTCTTTACTCAGCCACATGGGCATCTCTTCACTCGGCCACATGGGCATCTCTTCACTTGGCCACATGGGCATCTCTTAACTCGGCCACATGAACATCTTTTCAAAAAAATCAAAATGAAAGAAGTGCAAACCTTTGCACAAATATTGTGTGTATGATTAAGTTCCTGTGGCTGGTCCCACCGTTTTTTACGCACCTCCGCAACTTCTCACTGGGGCAACACTTAACGTTATCAATGGAAGTTAGTTGCAGAGTGGTCGCATTTTCTAAGGTCGTGACTTTAGATAAACTGTCGAGGTTTAATGAAAATAAAACCAGTGTGGCTAGACTTACTCGATGTCAGGAGATATGAGAGGGTTGGGAGCAGGTGAAGGGTTGGAATAATCAAATATCGGACTGCAGTGGGGGGAGGGGCTGCGCCGCTGAGAAGTGTGAAACGAAATTACTGGATAGTCGGTGTAAGTGGGTGGTAGTAGGGGATAAGTGGGTTGTAGGTATTGGGAAAGTTATTTGCACTGAAAGTAAGTGGTTGGTTATTGGAAACTGTGGTAAATAATTGCTTCTTGAAACTGAAAGGAAATATTTATTGGTTATTGACACTGAAAGGAAATATTTGGTTATTGACACTGAAAGGAAATATTTGGTTATTGACACTGAAAGGAAATATTTGGTTATTGACACTGAAAGGAAATATTTGGTTATTGACACTGAAAGGAAATATTTGGTTATTGACACTGAAAGGAAATATTTGGTTATTGACACTGAAAGGAAATATTTTTTTTTTATTATTTATAAAAAAAACATTTCCGAGATCGTTTAGATTTCATAAAATATTCTTTAACAAGAAGTTTTTATACGATGAAAGGCTTCATTTCTGCAACATGTTTTTAAAAAGTATTTAAATACGGCTTCAATGTCGATCTGGGGTTTTACAGTAGTTTCGCCTCAGAGTATGTCCTTTACCCTCAGAATATGTCCTTTACCCTCAGAATATGTCCTTTACCCTCAGAGTATGTCCTTTACCCTCAGAGAATGTCCTTTAAGTATATTTTGAAAGTTTCGATCAATTTTACTCCACTCTAAGATAAGTTCGGGGGTTCTAGCGGAGATTCGAGGCGACCTTGTTGACAACTTCAACCTGTTGATACACCCACGTGTATTGGGATCAAGGATTTTATTGGGTGTAATGAAATCAAGATAGTGAATTATATTTTAAATAGCTTTAAACAAGATTTCTCAATCCACTTGTTCCATGACTAAATATTAAAGTAGTAGTAGTAGGCCTAAGTTTGGTTTTATAATTTCAATCTAAACTGCATGGAATCGACAACGAAATGGTTAAAACTTAACAAAGTTTACAATGATCACACCCTGCTGTGTCCTCCCTGAAAAGAGAAATACACTAGACACTTCAACTGACATCACTGGACCGTGTTTTAAAATTACCATGTCTTTAAAAAATGAGAACAAACCAATGATGTCTTATGTTACCGAAGATAATGTAGTCTTTCCCTGGTCTAAATGTCTTCATGTAGTCTTTCCCTTGTGTAAATGTCATCATGTAGTCTTGCCTTGGTCTAACTGTCCTTATGTAGTCTTGTCCTGGTCTTAATGTCCTCATGTAGCTTTCCCCTGGTCTAAATGTCCTCATGTAGTCTTGTCCTGTCTTAATGTCCTCACGTAGCCTTCCCCGGGTCTAAATGTCCTCATATAGTCTTGCCCGGGTCTTTCATCAAATATTCTTTCAAAAGAAGTTTTTATACGGATGAAAGGCTTTATTTCTAAAAACATATTTTTTAGCTATTTCTATAGACTTCAATGGAGGCCATTGTTTTTGAGTTGTTCCCTCACTTAGCTCATGAAAGACATTGTTTTTGAGTTGTTCTGTCACTCAGTCCATGAAGACATTGTTTTTGAGTTGTTCCCTCACTTAGCTCATGAAAGACATTGTTTTTGAGTTGTTCTGTCACTCAGTCCATGAAGACATTGTTTTTGAGTTGTTCCTTCAATTAGCCCATGAAAGACATTGTTTTTGACTTGTTCCGTCACTTAGCTCATGAAAGACATGGTTTTTGAGTTGTTCCTTCACTTAGTCCATGAAGACATTGTTTTTGAGTTGTTCCTTCAATTAGCCCATGAAAGACATTGTTTTTGAGTTGTTCCTTCAATTAGCCCATGAAAGACATTGTTTTTGAGTTGTTCCTTCCATTAGCCCATGAAGGCCATTTTTTGAGTTGTTCCTTCATGTAGCCTTTCCCTCATCTAAATGTCCTCATGTAGCCTTTCCCTGGTCTAAATGTCCACATGTAAGTTTCCCCTGGTCTAAAAGTCCTCATGTAAGTTTCCCCTGGTCTAAAAGTCCTCAAATAGCCTTCCCCAGGTCTAAATGTCCCCATGTAGTCTTGCCCTGGTGTAATGTCCCTAGGTAGTCTTGTCACTGTCTAAATGTCCCCATGTAGTCTTTCCCTGGTCTAAATATCCTCATGTAGTCTTCCACTTTTCCTTTCAACCATAGCCGATAGACTGGTTATGACCATGCTTATCTTCTTAACATCAAAGCTCAAGATATCGTGGTTGTTTAAGGCCATTGTTTTTGAGTTGTTCCCTCTCTTAGCTCATGAAAGACATTGTTTTTGAGTTGTTCCTTCACTTAGCCCATGAACGCCATTGTTTTTGAGTTGTTCCCTCTCTTAGCTCATTAAAGACATTGTTTTTGAGTTGTTCCTTCACTTAGCCCATGAAGGCCGTTCTTTTTGAGTTGTTCCTTCACTTAGCCCATGAAGGCCATTCTTTTTGAGTTGTTCCTTCACTTAGCTCATGAAGGCCATTTTTACTGTTGTCCATTCACTTAGCCCATGAAGGCCATTCTTTTTGAGTTGTTCCTTCACTTAGCTCATGAAAGACATTGTTTTTGAGTTGTTCCTTCACTTAGCTCATGAAAGACATT